TGTCTACATTTCTGAGCATTCAGAATAACACAAATTCATAAAAAAGCATGTACATAAATGCCCAGAAACAATTTGTTCTTTTTGTTTAATCTCCCTCTTTTACATACAAATTTGACAAAACACAATAGTAATGAATGTCGGCTTGTGCCCAAAAGGGGCCACAGTTGGGCACCAAAAAATGTTTATGGCCATGTTCTCTTTATGATCAGTAATTTTTTTGGGTTGGGAGACCATGGGTTGTAGGAGTGGTGTGGTGGTTAGGTGGTGGGGTAATAATATACTTTAACATTGTAATGTACTTTTCACTCTGTGTGACAAGTTTCTCAAATCGCCACCTCTTCTTTACTTCGTTTATTCACACAGTGTGTCACAAGCAGGGTTGGAGGATGCCAGGCTACTAATCTGTGCTATTGGCCACCCCCAAGGCAGTCTCTCACTATGTCCACTGTGGGGTGAAGGGCATTGCTCAAGAAGCAGACCCAGACTGCAATTGGGGCAGCCAGGATTTGAGCCACCAACCCATTGGCCCATTTTATAAATGAATGTACTAATGATAGACATAAGCACTGGCAGTATTTGATCTCATTAACTTTTGTCCTGAGCTGCTTCAAATCCCTATTGATTGAAGTCTGAAGTAATGGCAGCTTTTGTAGGCAAATTTACTACTTGATATTTACAAAATTCGTCCATTTTCCCCCAATAAATAATATAGACAATGCATGCGCCATTAAAATTCATTATTGCGCATAAATTCATTGGCATAGATAGTATCTCATCTACTATACTCATACCCGTATTATAATTGATCCATGTCATACACGCGGAGATCGTTGGCGGTGTCGAGTAGTGACGTCACTAACCCGACACGCCCACTCCTCGACAGCATTAGTACTGCAGGCGCAGACAGATACACTTGAAAAAGTCTTAAAACTCTTACAATCGATCTAATCCCAAAGTAAGACACATGTTTTGCTAATTCAGCATTTTTAGACTATTTCTCATCCTTTTCACTCTATGTTCTGCTCTGGCCATCACAGAACGCTCGGTCGAATCTCTTCCGATCTGTGACATCATAGCTAGACCCGCCCCTTGACACGTCAGCACAGAAACCACAAAAACAACCATCTTATTTAAAAAATGACTTTATGCAAGTGAGATACGGACTTTGTGGACACTTCGAATAACACGCGCCAGCCGCCGTTCAGAGAAACCGTCACTAATGATCTCTTAGAAAGAAAACACAATCTTAGGAGAAGACACAACCCAAGGATCCTGTCGCACAAAAAACCCAACATGAGAACAAGGCTTTCTGGTTATCAGCAGAAAATGGTAGTAAAAATGATATATCAAAAACTCCCAGACATTTCCCTTTAATCTGCATCGGAGAGAGGGAGGAGGAGACTTTGTTTTAAATGACGTTTATTCAAGTCGGTAACCATGGAGAAACGGTGAGATTCCTTCCATTCAGTCGTCAAAAAACAGCATATAAAAATAATACTAGCAAAGCAGAAGGTTTGAAAACCGGGCCACGCGGGAAAAGGTGAGATTATGAGCCTTTGAAAGTGAAAGTAAAAGGTATAACACGGCTCAGAGTTTTTGTTACCTGTGACTAAAAGTTTATTTCATACAATTCTATACAAATAAAAACTGAAATGTTAAAGAGATTCGAACTGAACTTCATTTGAAACTATATCTGATATTTGATGTTTTTCATGTTAAGATGGTTGTTGAGGTGAGAATTACATTTTGCATGTTTAGACCAGAGGAGACCAGAGAGGACCAGAGAGAGGACCAGAGACGAGAGTCCAGAGATGGAGACCGAGAGAGGGTGGGGGGGGGGAACCACGAGAGAAGACAGAGAGAGGCCAGAGAGAGGCAGAGGATGAGGCCCGAGAGAGAGAGCCAGAGAGAGACCAGAGAGAGACCAGAGAGAGACCAGAGAGTGAGACCAGAGAGAGAGACAGTGAGGAGACCCGAGAAGAGACAGAGAGAGGCAGAGAGAGGAGGCCTCAAGAGGAGGACCAGTTGAGAGAGACCAGAGAGAGGACCAGAGAGGACCAGAGCGAGAGGCCAGAGAGACAAGGAGAGAGACCTGAGAGAGGCCAGAGAGAGTGACCAGAGGAGACACCAGGAGAGACATCAGAGAGAGAGCCCAGAGAGACCAGAGAGAGACCAGAGAGAGACAGAGAGACCATGAGGGAGAGACCAGAGAGGACACGCAGAGAGACACAGAGAGAGAGACCAGAGAGAGAGACCAGGGAGAGAGACCAGAGAGAGACCAGAGAGAGTACCAGAGAGAGACCACGAGAGAGAAGAGACAGAAGAGAGAGACCAGAGAGAGACCGACGAGGAGGACCAGAGAGAGACCAGCGACGAGACCAGAGAGAGACCAGAATAGAGACCAGCGAGAGAACCAGACGAGAGACCAGAGAGAGACCACTGTGTCAGTTTGATTTTCTGATCCGTGTCGACGTATCGACAACTTGGTAAAGTCCTTTGAGAGGCTAAATAACCATAGAATTAGGACGTGTTGGTGATGCAAAAACAGTTTTAAACATTATTTCTTAGAACTTAAAGCTGCTGAACCTAAAAGTTTTGTTTCGAGACTGAAATGTTTTTTGTCGCCGATAGAAAAAGTGTGAGAAATGTGTTTATTGGGATAAATCCCGACGTCATCTCCCAGGTCATTGTGTGACGTGATTCCACCAGTCCCTGTGAGTCACTATTTGACCTTTGGGCTCAGACAGAAAAAGTATTAGATTTTTACATGAGCTTTGAAAAAAGAGACCACAGACTTGAAGGGTCCTCGCACCAAATGTTAATGCTTATAAGAACCACTTGGGAATCTGAGGAGCACAGGGACTGGCCTCCTGCTGTGACTCTGAGGAGCACAGGGGACTGGCATCCTGCTGGGACTCTGAGGAGCACAGGGACTGGCTCCCTGCTGGGACTCTGAGGAGCACAGGGGATGGCCTCCTGCTAAGGACTGAGGAGCACAGGCGAACTGGCTCCTGCTGGGACCTGAGGAGCCACAGGGACTGGCCTCCAGCTAAGACTCTGAGGAGCACAGGGACTGGCCCCCTCCTGCTAATCGCGTCAAATACTACAGTTCCCATCATGCTTTTGCTTTGTCACGTGTCCTCCTCAAACAACAACAAGCACAGGCATGCCTGTGCTTTATTTAGCAAAGAGTTTGGTCTCGTTTCTCAAACGTAAATCTGGGCTGTGTACAGAGGACTGCGTGCTTCGGTATGTACAAACGACGCTGCGCGTGATTTGATTCATAGCGTAGTTAATGTTGTAGCGTAGCTTCTTCTGAGGCCAGTTTTCATTACTTTCATGACTGTCTTTCTTATATCGCTATGCACTCCACTAAACATGGCTGATACTTAGTTATTATTGCTTAACAAGTAGATACGTCTTTCCGTTTTTTTCGTTTGGAGACTGAAAATATATCCCAAAGCATTTATGTTCCCCCGTGCAACTAAAATTGTATGAATTATTTGTGAATTTAGACAATTAAATAATAATTATGTGAACATTGTGAAATTAATCACAAGTAATGTAATGTTACAGACTTGTTTTCTCTTCTACCCGAAGCTGAAAACACACGTGAGTATGGCTCTCCGTTTTCAAATGGCATATATTTCGATTGTTTTAACGTTCTATCAGCGAAATTCATCCTTTGATAGGGGCTTAGATACATCGATATGTAGTGAAACAAACGCTGTGTAAACGACTTTTTAGTAAAAGTCGTTTACAGCTGGCGTGTGAGATGGACCAACATGCTATGTAACGCTACCAACAGTGATTCATTTTAAATATATAGTACTTTTTCAGTGAAGTGCATGCATAGGGATATTATTAAGTTTGACCCATAAGTTTGACCGCGTTTTCCTTGAAGCAACCGAGCGCGTTGATTTGGACTTAATGGTGCAAGCACTTAATGGTGCAAGCACTTAATGGTGCAAGCACTGACCTCACGGACGCTACTAAATTCTATACAATATGAAATTACTTATTCAACTTTGTACCAACTCCTGGGTTCGAAATTAGATTTTGGGGAAAATGTTACGTACACGCGTAATGCATGAATGAATACGTGGTCATAATCCCTCCAGAAATGTATTAAAGTTTCTCATATTTGCTCGTGGAAAGATAGTAACATTATGTACTAGTAGAAAAGAGAAATTACTTTTCATTTATGTGTGTGGGTTCTCATGCATGTAGCCTCATTATTAATAATTTTACATATGGTCTTATCTCTTGATTTTTAATGGTTAAAGTAATTTAATACCAATACAAAGTCAGAGATTTCCATAATTTAAATATGATAATTTTGTGTGGGTTTTTTTCAAACAGTATTTGACGTTATTACTTGGTAGTCATTTAACAACGTCTTCCCTTTTTCTCCCCAGACCCATCCTTGAGCCTTTATCTTTCGATATCTAATGGTGAAAGGAATTCAATACTTATACAAATTCAGAGATTTCCATCATTTTTCAAGTAAGATATTTTAGTGTGGGTTTTGATCTGTTTTTGATGTTATTATTTGGTAGTCATGTAACAACGTTTTCTCTTTCTCTCCCCAGACCCATCCTTGCACTTTTTGTTCACTTCCTCATTTACATCTACTTTTGATTAATAATCAAAATGGAGCATAAATGGGATGAAATGTTTCTCCTCCTCACAGAGAATATTTATCCTGAGGGAATGAATAAATTTCAAAGAGACAACTGGAGGAAGTACTCCCTTAAGTTTACAGTAAAGGGTAATAATGCATTTGCTAGTATGGTTATACATGTCTTATTCTTCTTCTGTTGTTTTCATATAAATTATTTTTTATAGATGGTGAGCTGTTCTATGGCAAAAGAAGAGCCATTAAAACCAGACATGAGGCGCAGAAACTATTTCAAGAGTTTCATGCTACGCCCATGGGAGGCCACACTGGGATGAAAAAAACCCGACATGCCATTTGTTCCAGGTTTTACTGGCGTGGCATGACTGTGATGATTGACAATTGGGTATGTGATATTATTTGTCTGTACAATTCCCTTCCCTAAAGCCTGTTCGTTTTAAGATTGCTGAGTGTGACCAATGTCAACGTGAGGGAAAGACTCTGGGTACAGTTGCACCACTCCAAACAATAAAGGTAATTGTATTGTTACTATTCAACCACCAATGTACATTTATGCATTACAATCCTGTTGGCATGTTAGGTGTCTGCTGTTTGGGAGCTGCTGGGGATTGACCTAACTGGGCCCTTCCCCAAAACTACTGATGGCTATCAGTACATATTTACAGCCACTGATTATTTTTTCAAAGTGGGTAGAGGCTTTCCTATTGAAAACCAAGACGGCTGCGGAGGTTGGGCAAAGACTTTGCTCTATAATATACAGGCATGGGTGCCCGAAACGGATCCTGTCAGATCAAGGGCGGGATTTTGTAAATGAGGTGAATATTGCTTTTTGTAGTTGTTACTTTTTTTTGTTCATACTTTCTTATTCATTTAATTTTCATTGTTTTAGCTCAATGATTCTCTGTGCTCTCTGCTGGGCATTGAGAGAAGCGTCACCGCTGCGTACCACCCACAGACTAATGGGTTGGACGAAAAGACCAACCACAACATCAAGAGGCAAGAAAGATATGTATAATTTAATCATGTGAAGCACACATTAAATATATGACTGATGGCAAACCCTACATGTTTTAATTTCCCCCATTTAAACAATGTTCGGAATGTCTTTCTCAGAGCTTTGATGAAGTTGGTGAATGAGCAGCAGAACAACTGGGACACATTCCTTGATGCCACACTGTTCTCTTTGAGGTCAAAGGTGCACATCTCAACCAAACACACCCCATTCCAGTTGATGTATGGGCGGGAGGCTGTGTTCCCCTCAGAGGTGCCTGTAGATTATCCTGTAAGTTCCATTTGTTCAATTGTTGGGTTACACAGAGGGGGAAGAAGCTGGACAAGGTCATCAGTAAGTTCAGCTCAGTCATGGGCTGTTCCCAGTGCAGCAGGTGGGGGACCATGACTGTCACCCCCTGCAGGACACTCTGCTCTGGAGAGCAGCTTCAGTGAGAGCTATTCATCCTCTATGTGTGAAGAAGAGGTTGCACAGGTCTTTCCTTCCTGCCGCTGTCAGACTGTACTGTGAGAACTGCTGAGCCTGTACATGTCATCTCGTCTGTAAATAAGTAGTAAGTAAATACTGTAACAATCACATTTTCCCACTGTGGGACAAATTATACCTTATTTTATTTAGGAGACAATCATGGCACTTTCTTGACCCACCAATCAAAGCTTTTGGAGGATTTGAAGAAGGGAAAAATAGCAGATTCACCAGGTAGGGATAGTAATGTCAGTAATATTTGTTACTTTGCATCTAACGTTTTTCCAATGCTTTTAGGACACTGCCAAATGTGACAGCTACACACCAATGGAACTTGAGAGTGAGAAGGCGCTTGACATACAAACAGAACAGGTATGTCTAGTAGTAAATATTACAATTTATTGTATTTTCATTATAAATTAAAACTTTTGTGTTTCCTTAGAGCAATGAGGTAGGAGGGAGTTTTTACATGGAAAAAGTCTTGAAGCGGACTATAGTGTCACTGATTGTCACACGCAAGTCAAAACATTTCTCTTGTAACCAAATTCATTGTTTTCTCAGGGTATGCCCCATTGTACAAAGAAGAGCTAAATGAACAACTGATTGCCTAAAGATGTGCAGAAACCCGTCTCCGAGCACCAGACATCACAGCTGAAGCGTTATTCTTTGTAATAATTAAGAATACAAATCCTGTTAACATTGAAACTTTTTTTTGCAGGCTTTTTTTGGGCAGGAATGCACTTGAATGAAAATGTCAAACGTGGGCAAGATTCTTCAAAGGGGCAGTCTTTATTCAAAGTTCCAACCCAAAGTACAACAAAGGAAAGCAAAACAGCAAAGCCAACACTTGGTAAAGAAATAATACTGTACAAACATTACAGTACAATAACTTAATAATATATTATTACAGAGGCTGACCAGGACAGAAAGCCAACGCACTGGCCTTCAGGATCTGTGAACTCTTCGCGTATCCTGAGCACATCACATGCAGGAATGACCTGGCTCCCAGTCGTCCCGAGCACCAGCTAACCAACTCCACAAATCTGAGACTCCTGTGGAATTGGACACATGTTAATTATTGTAATTTGCTGTTTGCGTAGTGTACTGAAATGTTTTGTCCCTTTGTCTGTTTCATGGTGTGACGACGAGAGCATTTGCACCTGCAAATGAATTGATTTCTGAAAATGAAGTCTCCACGCTCTTTCAACATTATCAATATATTTATTTGACAGGGACAATGCAGACACAGTCATAAACAAAGCTTGCAGCTGATGTGATGAATGTAGTTTATAGCAGATGCCAATTCACAACTCCTGTCCCTGGTTGGGCCTAACCAATCAAAGTCAATACAATTCCTACATTTCTAAAAATACACTTAGTTTACAGCCTACAGACTGATTGATCCACACAAAAAAACTACAAACGTTTTTTCTCTTGTATTTAAAGCTTGACATCAATGCGGGAACTTTACATCCTTCAGCAGGAAAATCTACACAAATTCAATTCAATACCACAGCCCATTTTTTATGCACAACCTAACATAAAACCCATGAAAAAACCTTTGATTGGTTCCAATTTAAATGTTACTCACCAGTGTTGTTCATTTCTTTAATAGAAAGGATGCACCCGATCTTTCATCTGGGAAACTAGTCAAAATTCATCAATCCACGAATGAATTACATTTCAAAGGACAACATGGCCATGGCATGTAATCTCTGTGGTTACTGGTGATAATAATCCTGTGGTTGTTGTCATGGATCAGCTGCAGCAGAGTCTTGACAGTAAAAGTTGCACTATATATCCAAATGGCCATATTTTTTTTTTTTGCAACTTCGAATTCATCCCATGAAAATTATTAACTGAACTGACAGAAAAGTGTGCAGTCCACAAGCTGTGCTGCTGCAGGTGATCGCTGCATTAAATTAAATTTATTATTTCCATTATCAACATTCATCCAGTTGTAAGCTGTAGAGTTGCCACAGGACGCTTCATCAGCCTACGTCAGCTGCCAGGACTGCTATCATAACATAAGCATAGTGGTTTCATAGGTGCAGTTGACTGCTTAAACTAAACTTTACCCGAAAGTTTGACTCTTAAACCCACATGTGCCAACACGGAACCATCAACATCTCGCCTCAAAATTGCATTAAAAGTGACATTCGTGTCTTATTTCGTTCGTATTATAACTTTTAAAGGAATTCACGGGACTTTCTGTCCGCCATCTTGGTTGTTTCGGCTGCCGTGAGACGCGCATGCGCGCAGGTTTGCATTACATCATTAACAGCTGAGCATTACATAAGCGTCACTTTTTGGCAGAGCGTTACAACTCGGCAGAACACCGGCACAAAATGAAGATCCTGGTCGTTTGTTCTTCCTCTGATGAAGAACCTGTGGATGTCTCTATTGTTCTCGACAGCAAGGAGATTGTGACTGGATGTGGAAATACTGCAAAGGCATGTGCACTGCTAATGGGTCTAATATATTCCCTCAATCTTGCTTATCCTACAACACTACGATACACCTTCGAAGTATTTCAGAAGATTTTCTTACATTTAGATGCATTTAAGCCATCCCCGAAAATACAAACACTGAAAGTCAAGCTACTGTCCAAAACATAAGAGAAGCAATTTTGTTCAGCATAAGAGAAAAGGCCACAGATTTTATATAATTTGATGTTGTTACTTTAGCTTAGACTCTAGCTTAGACTAGAATATGAAAATTAGTCATTAAAACATGGACATGTTAAATTAATTGACTATTCTTGAATCTAGTAACTCCTCATGTAACAGTGTTTTTAATTAGGGAAAATGTGAAAGAGCTCGGCCACTTCTAAAATTACCTCGGTCTGGAGCCATTGAGATTTACTGCGAGAGGCTAATGCTACAACATCCTGGTCTTTAGCTGAACAGAGGCTCAAAGACCAGGCAGGTGCATCATCTCATCTAAGCTAATGACATTTAATTATAGAAAATCAATGGCCTATCTCTATACCATTCCCATTGCATCCTTTTTGTGATAATTAAGTTTTCTGTTGTCATGTGTTCTGCTTTTAAGGTCAGCTTTAGTTCATCTTTTAGTTTTCATTGTTGATGTGTGAACTTAAAAGTTTGTCAATAAAACAGGTTGTTAAATGTTGATATTTGCATATTGTTTTTTCTTATTAATTCAATAATAATGTAATTGTTACACACATATAGTACTTAATAAGTATTATTGCAATGATATGAAATATACTGATAAAATATAAATAACATTTATTCAAGTTATCCATTATTGTAAATGATCTGTACACATAATGGTTACTCAGTATATCTATTTCACACATAAATAACCTAAAAAAAATCACATAAACCTTACTTGATTATTTTATGTGATCAAGTAAAAAAAATCATTTGTTAAGTAAGGTTTACTTACAAATAACATTCAGATTATACTTGATGAAATAAAAAGTTTTACTTGATTTATAGTAGTAATCTTTAATTATATCTTCGTGCAAATACTTACGAGGATTTTTTTAAGTAAATGTTAATCACGATTTTTTTTTCAGTGTATAACGTAAACTTTTGCATCACGTTGGTGGTGATCTTTCCAAAAAGAGAGAATATCGTTATGGAAAGAGAAACTATTGGTAATATAACGCTGAACGTTATTTGACTCAAACAGCTTGGAACAATTGGATTACAAAATTTGGACATCATTTGGAACAATCTGGATTTCTGAATTTGGACATCATTTGGAACAATCTGGATTTCTGAATTTGGACATAATTTGGACTGAATTGAATTACTGAATCTGGACACTAAAGCTGAAACGTGCGATTGAAAGACACGTCACAGAAGAATTCATGGCTTGACACAAATGCAGCCTGAAGAAATCAACACGGAGAAGTGGGAGAGACTGTTTTCAAAGCAATATCTGAGAACCATTGACTGATGAAGTTTGGTATTTTACTGAAGATTGTTGACAAGTTTTATGAAAGATCTGAAAATGTTTTACGAGTTTTCTGAGTTTTTTGAAGTACCGAGTGAAGTACCGAGTTTAAGTATTGAGTTATGTATGTTTGTTCTACGTAAATACTGTATGTGTGCTATTTTTGTTGCACAAGGCTGTAGAATTGCAAAGAGCATATGCAGTAAATATGTGAAAAGACATACAGTACATACATATATATCTCACTAAATACAGTCACAATGAAAACATGACTAAATCATTTGACTGTTGTTCATAAACACTGATGTCAGGACACAGACACAGACCGTTTCATTGACATGAAGACTTTCTTTTGAGGAATTAAGTTCATTTTGAGGAAGTGACTTTTTAGCAAGTTATCCATGAGGTTTTGCCGATTGCACTAATTGTTCTGAGAAATGCACAAACTGATTACAAAATATATACTGTGCATTCTCAGGGGACACACTGCCATGGCATCTCTTCTGCATTGTCCACATGTGTACTGTATCTGTGGACTACTGTAGTACTCTCTTGGAGCTCTCCCTCCCCCGCACGAATAAACAAAGGCCACCCCAGGCCCCTGCTGTTATAAGTCATTACCTAAATTTGCAAATCAATACATGCAAATGTTAGCAGCCAACCTAGCATAGTGTGTATCATCTATGGTATTAAGCAACTTTTGTTAAAGTTAAACTCATCATTCTATCAATGTGCAGAAGCCAGTACTTTTCCCTTGTTTTGTCTATCTGAAGGCCAAGCTACAAGCACAACGTGGAAGCTGCTGATTGGAGGTCTCCATGCCTCCGCTCTGTATAATACACTTGTATTCTGTTGTATCTGTTGTTCGTGCTGTCTCTACCATCGACAATAAAACATGTCTTCTGTCTGAATTTAAGACGCGATCCCAGACTTTGTCATCTTCTTCAGGTGGTGGAGAATGCGGGCATTGTCTGTAACATCTAGAGAACAGAAGACTACTTTTTTTTTACACAAAAATGTGTTTTTTTTTTTAAAGCCAAACTGAGAAACCTCAAGAGAAACCATGCGTCTGGACCAGCACACTTGGACAATCTGCACAGCCCCTGATTCCACTCCGGCTGTGAGCTGCTGAGACATGGACAACACCATCGTCCTCTTTTGCATGGACATCATTTGGAACAATTGGATTACACAATTTGGACATAATTTGGACTGAATTGAATTGCTGAATCTGGACACTGAAGCTGAAACGTGTGATTGAAAGACACGTCACAGAAGAATTCATGGCTCGACACAAATGCAGCCTGAAGAAACCAACAGAGAAGTGGGAGAGACTGTTTTTCAAAGCAATATCTGGAACCACATCGACTGATGAAGTTTGGTATTTTACTGAAGATTGTTGACAAGTTTTATGAAAGATCTGAACATGTTTTATGAGTTTTCTGAGTTTTTGAAGTATTCCGAGTTCTGAGTTTTTTGAAGTACCGAGTGAAGTACCGAGTTTGAGTTTTTAAAGTATTGAGTTATGATGTTATGTTGCTGTTTATCGATCCTGATGGTCACAGGTGAATGTGTGACCAGAGGGGGGAATGTGAGATTTCATAACACTTTTAAACAACTTTTGTTAAAGTTAAACTCATCATTCTATCAATGTGCAGAAG